GCCAAGGAAGGCCAAGGATGGATGGCCAACAGAAGTAAGGGGGAGACAAGCAAGTAGTCTATCCAGAGGCCCAGAGGGAGCAGGGCTCCACTGGTACCTTGATTTTGGATTTCTAGCACCCTTCAGAACTGTGAGAAAATAAGTTCCTGTTACTTTAAGCCACCCAGTCTGTGGTGTTTTGTTAAAGCAGCACTAAGAGACTAATACAGCCTGTGAAAGAAGGGAAGAAACACAGAGGCCATATAGCCTGTGCCACCTCCTCGGCAAGCTCTAGGAAGAGTGCTGCCTTGTCATTTGGTCACAGGGAGGTCATGGCCTAGTGTGAAGTCACATCCTGTAGAAGCAGACCCTGCGGCACTGTCAGCTGGAGATATCTGCTGACCACACTTCCAGTGACGGGCCGTCTTCCTTTCTCATAGGAAGATCAAAATGCCGTATCTCTGTCTGTACTATGGTAGCCAAGAAAAAAAATGTCTGGGGAATATAGATGGCATATAGACATTTTGACTTTTTTAAATATATAGATTTTTAAATGATTTTAAATTACAAAGATAACTATGATCAAAATATATATGGAATAATAAGTTAGTAAGAGGAAAAATGGAACCATAAACATAATTAATCCAGCAAATAAGGAATGAGTAAAATTAAATGCAGTAACAACTCATGTAACTAATAAATGCAATGGAAGCAAATCAGACACAAACTTACTGCAACTCATGTCAAGTTTTCTGGTCCCCTATCAAATAACAACAGAGTCTTAGATAAGCAAAAACTGAAAACTAAAAATCCATTTTAAGCTGTTCAATAAGAAACACAGGTAAAACAAAATAATAACCTTAAAGAAGTTGAAGATAAAGAAATGACCAAGGATATGCCAGGCAAATGCAAACTAAAGGAAATTGGGAATGAGCATATTCATATCAACTACAATGAAATGCAGGATGGAAATTATTAAATGAGAAAAAAAGATATTTTTTGAGAACAGAAAGTATAATTCACAAGGACACAATCATAGACATCTCCTTCATTCACCAAACAATGTAGTTAGAATATATGATATAAAAAAGGGGAGAGAAACAGAAGAACATGATAAAACTATAAATAGCCATATGAGGGAGTTTAGGTATAATTTGTTAATAACATGACAGAGTAGACAATGAGATAGGTTAGTGATGGTATAGGGCATTTCTTCTCTATAAACAGAGAACGTGTTCTTTCCCTTATATCTATGGAACATTCACCAAAAACAAAAATCTATTTCCATGACATTAGAAGAAAATAAGTTTTGGGGGAGATAGCGGATATATTACTCATTCCTTAATCCCAGTCCTATAAATCAAGAAATTGGCACTGAAAGAATAACCATGTGTAAATGCTTGAAATTAAAAAGACCTTAGATTAAATTGAAATGAAAACAAAATCACATGTTATTTGGAAATTAGAGTACTCTACATTAAAACTTACAGGGAAATAATTTATCAGGAATAATTTATAGCCTAAATGCTTTTGGATTGCATCTAAATTTTTTAAACCAACTACCACCACCCCCAGAAGGAATTACTAACAGTAAAAGCCAAAACAATGGAAATGGCCACAAGACAAATAAAAAGGGAAAATCTGACTAATAAAAAGATATATGCAATATTAAATACATAAATGGTGATAAATTTTAATATCTAAAGGAAATTGATGGTTTCTAACAAATTATAAGTTATCAAAATTTGACCCAAAGTTGTTATAAATCCCAGGAGATGAATAATTATAGAACAAATCCAAGGAAATGAATGATTATAGAACAAAAACTGAGTACATCTAAAGAGAAAAAGCTTCCAGTTTTATGAAAAATATCAATTCTTTGGTACAAGTAATGATAGAGGCACAACACTATCACTCATGAATATATCCTTTTTTTAAAAAAAGTGAGCAAATCAAACCAAACTTTTATTCTATAAATACAAAGTTTATTCTATAAATACAAGGGTGGATTTTTGCATTATGAAATCTGTCAAATATATACATTGGTACAACAGACTAAAGCAGAACAATTATAATTATAGCAACTGATGCTGAAAATACATTTTATGTAGTTCAGTAGACATTCCTAATAGAAACTAAAAGTGAACTAGGAATAGCAGAAAGAAACTGCCACATTTCTAAACCCAACAATAGCACCATGGTAGATGGTGACTACCAAAGGATGTTATAAAAGCCTGGTGCTGCCATTACTCAACTGCTGTGACTCAGCATTGTTTTAGAAGTTCAGTGAATGCAAGAAGAAAAGAAATTGAAATAAACCACATAAATATTGCAAGTCATGTGACTGAGGATCTACTTAAAATCTTTTAGAATTCTACAAAATATTTTGGAAAAATAACTGGGTAGAAGATACTGGATAAAACCCATTTTTCTTTATATGAATTAATAACTGATTAGAAATGCAAATAGAGGAGCTGCATTTATAGCTCAGTGGTAGAGCACTTGCCTAGCATGTGTGAGCCCCTGGATTCCATCGTCAGCATCACATTAAAAATAAGTAAATAAAGCAAAGGTATAAAAAATACAATGACATTATAAAAAATAAATGCAAATAGAAAAATCCCCATTTAAAAGAGTGAAAAATGAAAACATCTAAAAATTAATTTAGTAAGACATAGGACAAATTTTTAAAAATCTAAGATAGTCGCAAAAGACTTTAAAGAAATAGTGAGCTATACCATACCATCTTTTTGAATGAGAAAACTTAAAATTCTAAAGAGAACAGTCCTTTCCAAGTTAGCATATAAATGTTTATAAAATTATAGTCAGAATCCAGACTTGGAGAGTGAAGGTGTTGTCAGATCAATGAATAAATAAATTCCGGCGTGGGAGATACCACAGATTGATCCAGGGGCACTTAACCACTGAGCTACATGCCCAGTGCTTTTTTATGTTTTGAGACAGGATCTTGCTAAGTTTCATAGGGCCACACTAAATTGCCAAGGCTGGCTTTGAACTTGTGATCCTCCTGCCTCTGCTCCTAAGCTGCTGGGATTATAAGCATACACCACCACACCCAGATAATGAATTATGATTTTAAAGTCTGAATAAATACATAACTACAAGGAAATTGCCAAACATGAAAGAACAATAGTATGGGAAACTTGCACCAGCAGATATCAAAACATACTGTCATGTTCCTGCTTTTAAAAGCGTGTATTAGCTCAGTAATCCACAAGTAAGTCTTTGGAACAGAGTAGAGTTCATAAATAGAGATACAGAGGAAAACTGAATGTATGCTTAAAGTGAATGTCTTTCCAATAAGGAAAAGGTATATTAAAAAATAAATCATATTGGGGCAATTAACTTTCTATCAGGGAATGATTGCATGTGGACTTAATTTCATTTAAAGTGAAGATCTAATATTAAAAATGAATACAGGTGTTAGAAGAAAATATGGGAGAATGGATGTATAACATCTCTGTATGATGATTAACATCTCTGAACTCTGTGCTGTATCCTACAATGGAAAATTGGCAGATTTGGTTTTGTAAAATTTTAAAATGTCTGCATGAAAAGGTACTAAAAACAAAGCCAAATGAAGAACAATAGGTTGCAACCCATGTGACAAAAGTTAATGGTTAGGGTCTGGGGATTTAGCTCAGTGTTAGAGTGCTTGCCTAGCATGCATGAAGTCCTGAGTTAAATCCCCAGCATCACCAAAAAAAAAAAAAAAAGAAAAGAAAAAAAGAAAAAAAAAAGAATAGTTAATGATTAATGTACTAAGGAATCCTATAAATTGTTGAGGAAAAAAAGATAAACAGCTCAGTATAACAATAGGCACAGAACATGAAATAAAAATTTTAAATCACCAAAAAATCAACCCTCGTTAGTAGTGAGAAAACTTGCATTATAACAACTGAAATGCCATGATCTGTCCATAAGGTTGGCAAACACTTAAAAATGGTGAACATCCAGCACTGTTAAGTATGTCAATAAGCAGGCACTTGTTATGCACTGTTGGATTGATTGCTTGGATGTTTTAAGAGAAAGAAATGTGGCAATAGTCATGCAAATAGTTAATGTGCTTATCATAATTGTACTCCTAAGATTCTTTCCCACAGAAATAAAAGTACTCAAACATTAAAGATGTTTGAGTAAGGCTGTTTATTCCTGCTCTTGTTATGGTAGCCAATCCTGGAAACAATCTGAAGTTCAACCAAAAGAGAATGATTAAATGATGATATATGCATCTTGTGAAATATTTTGCAGTTACTTTTAAATGAGTAGATGTGTAGATTTGGAAAAATATATCTAAAATAGATTTGTAGGAACAGAAAATTTGTTGAAGAAATTGTGTGTCCATATGTGTGTGTGTATAAACAAACATAGGGGACATTTTGAAAGTCTGTACAGCAAAAAGCTAACATTGGTTATTTTCTAGAGGGAGAAAATATGGGACCTGATTCATTTTTACTTTATATTTCTGTGCATTTTAAAAGTTGATTACAATGAGCAAGTATCTCTTCTGTGTAAAACATAATTATAGCCAAAGAGGATTGTTGAATTGTGGTTTAAAGTTGTGTCATCTGAGCAACTCTAACAAAAATCACAGTTGATATATCAGAGGGAAATGAAAAATTGTCCACATGTCAAATGAAGTCCCCTCTATGAAAACCCACAATAGAAATTTTCACTCCAGGCTCAATCCTCCAACACCTGTGGTTTGTTTTAGGCACTGGCTTGCTTTTCTCTCTTGGACAATGGGCATCTGGGAACTGATCATGTCTTCCTTTGCTGTGGCAATTAGGGATCTGAGACAAATTGAAGACTTCCATTTCTTCAATGCCATATTGGATTACATGGCTTATGTCCTATGCATAACCCCTATTGATGGTATCATCTTATTGCCTCTTTATTTTTCCTTCATATTCCTTCCTTTTAAATTTTGTGTGTATGTATCCCTGGGAAAAAAAATAGGGGTATGAATAAATATTGACCAGTGATTTTTATTTTAACAGGAACCTGGGAAAGAAAAAAGTTGCAACATGAATAGGCCACCCATCACTACCAACTACAGATGACTTGCCATTTCATTTATAAAGGTAAGAAACTATAGTTTGTGTTTTTAATGAATTCTGACTATGCAGTATATTTGCATATCTTTTTACTGTATACTTACTTATAAATAAATATTCTAATGCATGAATCTCATTCATGACCTTTAATTTTGACAGTATCAAATTCAAAACAAACATTAAGCAAACAGAAGCCAGAAAATTTGTGGGTGTTGGTCTACCTGAAGGGACAAAACCCAGATATGGTCTCTGCCATTAATTATTGCATGTGATTAAATTTTTAATAACATTAGCATTTTCCTTATTTTTAGAGGAAGTAGCACTTACTGCAGAGTACTTGGAAAACATAGAAAAATATAAAAACAAAAACCCTAAAGCATTTATAATTCTACCATCTGTAGATAATCAGTACTTCTGAGAATGTCTTTCCTCCTTCCTCTTATGTGTATATGAAAAATATAAATGATTATAATGTTTTTTAAAACAATGTCTTTTATCTATACTTACCTTCACTTCCATAATTGCAAATGAAGTATTCTAAGTGGTGTGGAAATATAACAAGATTAGGAACAAATAGTAATCACCGCTCTCACCATTTCAACAGTTCATTGCACTTTATTAGCTCATTCCCAAGCATCTCATTTGCCTCTCCAACCCAGGTGTCTCTGGTTATTAGGTCTGTGTGAGCTTTGATAAACATCACTCTGTAGAAGGATAAAATAAAACAAAACAAAAACCCTTTGAATTCAGGTGGTAGTTCAGGGCCCTCCGTTATCATTATTATCTGTTTTGTGCACCTTAAAAGGAATTGATTTTTTAAGACTGAAGTTTACCCATTTCTCTCCTCCTCTCCCCTACTGTCAAGTCAGGGGTGATTTACAAAATAATAAAAAAATACTTTAAGACCATCTCATCATCCATCCTTCATTCATGCCAGTTGGTCAATTTTTCATTGAGGTGGCTTTTTCAAGCACCCTTCAGAGTCATTCTTGGAGTGCTTGCATTTTAAAAGCTGCAAAGTCTTAGATGTGCAATTACTGGAGTGGCATTCTTCAGGAAGGTCTTTATTCTCCTGGCTCTATTGAGCAGCTGAAGGTTTGTTTTTATACTCAGCCTGATATTTTAAAGCCTTTCAGGCACTTTAATTTTCCTAGTATTTCATTCAGAACTCACTAAAATATTATCCCACGGAGACTAGAAAACTCAATTGTTCTTTAAGCAAATTAAACAGATACAGTGGAAAGCAGTCATTTGTGAAACACCTGTCCTTGAAACTCCCTATTCTAATATGGACAGATTGAATAAATAGATCATAAAAATTAAAAGGATAGCAGGGTGGTTTGATTGCTGGGTAGTAATAAACTTGGTAAGGTGTGCTTGCTGTGGCCCATGCTTTCACATTCCTCCATGGCTTTGGCCATACAAGTTATTGGCGGCCCAGGCAAACTCAATCATTGAGTGCAGAAAATTGACTGTTGAATTATTCTGTTTAGCAAATATGGCATTTATTAAAAGTCTCAGATTTGAAGAATGCTTTAGAGATTTCTAAGAAAGTCTTTAGTTTTATCTATCCCTCCATACTGTATGAAATGCTCTTCATGGAACTTAATATAAGACCCTCAAATATCGTGACTCTGTGCAGTTACCTTATTTATCAGAGAAGTAACTGAATTTAAAAATTCAGATTAATTTGAAGTGAAAGTTTTAATAAGAAGTAAGAGAAATGCATTTGAACATCTATATTTCTCTGTAAGAAAAAGTGTTCTATCTAAAAGCATTGGGGGGAAAAATCAGATAACCAATAGCTAAGTGCATAAAACTGTAAAGCTTCTCTGTATCCTAATTATAAAACAAATGAAAAAATATTCAGCAACACAGAAAAATATTAATAATGCATTTGATAATAGATTAGTAGCCTCAAAACATAGAAATCAATAAGGAAATCATTAATATTAATAACCATTACAGATAAATATCAATATCTGAAATACTAAGACTCAAATAGATGAGCAAAACAATGGAAAATTCAAAAGAAACATGAAGAGCTAAAATGTTGTGAAAAACAATGTTAACCTTCACTAGTAATTTTCAAAGACGGAAATCAAAATCAGGAGAGATGACCTGGTGCTGAGGCACACACCTGTAATCCAGCTATGAGACAGAGACAGGGGAATTGCAAATTTGAGGCCAGTCTGGGCAACTTGTGAGACTCAGTCTTAAAATAAAAAAATAAAAAGAGCTGGGGATATAGGTCAGTGGTAGAGCATTCCTGGGTTCAATCCCCAGTACTGATAGATTAAGTAATTGTTCAATTAATTAGGAGAGGCCTTGCTTTACTGTCAGATTAGCAAAGATACGAAAAAATAGTAATCGTTGCTAAGTGTGTCATGAAGCAAGTTCTGTTGTGGTATAAATGGATGTAGTCTTCTTGGAAAGAAATTTAGAACTATATTTTAAGAGCTTGAACTTTTTAATACCTTGGTATGATTTAATAATTCCAGGACTCTTGTCCAAGAACACATTGAAGGTGTAAGTACAAAATAATTATGTGTTATTTTTAGAAGTAAAATCCTTGAATCACCTCAACTGTCCTCCAATATTAGCATTATTAACCTAAGTATTGACACGCAACAGTTTTCAGACAGTGGTATACCTCGAAAGTAGAAAACATTATTGTCCTTACAATGAAATTTTTATCATCAAATGGGAAAATACTTTTTAGGGTACATTAATATTCAGTGACAATACTGAGTAAGGCAGTATTGTAATATTTTTCATATAAAAATGCCTAGAGCAAAAAGTGGAAACAAATATGCTAAATTGTGAATAATGGAGTCGCTTATGGGAAGTAGAATTAAAAATGATTTTTTTCTCTGATTCATAGTTTTTGGTACTTTCCAGATATTTTTATAGTGAGCATTTATAACCAGAAGAAGAAAAAAATTTTATGGCTTCATAGAAAGAAACTTATGCTCATCATGTATACTTGGCCTTCCATCGCCTCTTTCTCAGAGCTTACAGAGTTAAGTATACTACCAAAATGATTGAAAAGTAAAGGTTGATTTCACAAAAAGTTAGGAAACAAAGATTTGTGGTTTTTTTTTTTTAGCATTCTGAGAATGTCTTCTTTTCTTAGAAACAACAACAATAATGATAACAAAAGCAAAGTTAAAAATGCCTCCCTTAGTTAGCAATGTTATTAAAATGTTGTATATCAGAATAGAGTTTAAATTCAAATGAGAATATTTTTCCCTTGTAGATGTCGTCAGCTGCTGAAAATGGAGATGCAGCTCCTGGAAAACAAAATGAAGAAAAAACCTATAAGAAGGTAAGCGTCTTTTGTTCTTTCTTCAACTCCTGAAGTGGAGCCCTGGTCTACTGTTTGGCATGTTAATATTGTCAGAGGCCTTTTCTTCCTTTAAAGCAGTTTTAAGTTACTGTTTTAGCTTCCTGTTGCTGCTCTACCACAAACTTGGCGTTTGAATAACACAAATCATTATAGTTATGAAGGTCAGAAATCTGCCTTGATGTCTGCAGAGCTGCATCCTTCCTGGGAGATCTAGGGGAGCACCATTTCCTTGTTCTTTCCAGCTTCTAGAGGCTGCCTGCATTCCCCATACCATGTCTCCTGTCCATCTCCAATCCAGCAGTGGCTGCTGGGCATTTTTTCCTGCTATGTCACTCGCCACTTTAAAGAACCTGTGTGATTACATGAAGCCCTCCTGCTTTCAAGTCCAGGGTGATTTCTTTATTAGAAAGTCAGCTAAACAGCAACCTTAATTTTATCTGTAGCTTCAACTCCTCTTTGCCATACAATGTGACATACATGTCCCCAAGCGTTAGGTCGAGGAAATCTTTGGGAGCCATTTTCTGCCCACCACACTTACCGTGATAGACTATGAGGGAAGGTAGTTATTATTCCTAAGGTGGCTTTTAAGGGCACACAATGTTCAGCATCTAGTATATGATTTCTTTAAGGACTCGTTGCTTTCTACCAGAACTTTAAACATTTTCTACCTTTGGATTTTAAACAAAGCTGAAGTGTGAAATTCTACACTACACACACACACACACACACACACACACACACACACACACACACACTTTTTCTGAGCCTCTCAGATTTCATGTCTTTAGCTCATTTCACAGAAATCTTAATTTTCCAGACTTCCCAATGTATCTTATCTTACTACTATTTGAATTTGATAAATCCTTGGTTCCTAGGAAGTAAGTTAATGTTCAGAGACATTTCTGGGTAAAATGTATCCCCAGGCACTGCTTATTCCTGATTATAAATAGACTATACAGCTTTTAAAAATTCTTTCCCTCCTGCCCTCTTGGGAATAGGAGGTTTGTGTATTGAGGTTTTATTATATTTTAATTTTTTAATTTTCCCTTTTACCTGTTACTCTTTGATGGATCATTGATGAGACATTTTATCAGTAAGTGCTTGAATCATTTAATCTGACCACATATTCAGATGATCAAACTAACATGATACATTTCCTGTTTAGTTTTTATGGGGAATAATATGTACTTTTTCCTGAGTTTTTCTATTCATCCAAACCTATAAGTTTAAACCTATAAGGTTATCATCCAGAATGATGATGCAATTAGGGAAAAGCAGGGTGGAGACTCAAGAGCTCAGAAATGGCACTCTGTATTATCTTATAAAATTTGTGCATCTGGCCAAAGGTTACAATACACTATTATTGTTTATTTTTAGATACTGGTAGTAAAAACAAATGCCCTTATTTGTCTAAGACTCCACGTAAACTCAGTCAGTCATGAGACCAACATAGAGATGGTTACACTTTCACCGTCTCTAAGCCTGACATTACTTCAGGTCAGTGTCAGGCAGAATTCTGGATCAGCATTGCGCAGTGCAGACTGTTGACTGAATCCTGACCCACAGGAGCTCCTTCCTGATGCAAACATAATGCAAAGAATATGATCATGACAACCTGAAGTTAGTGGCCCAAGAATTTAGTGAAGCAGGTTGTAAGTAATATTCTAGGTCGGATTCTACCTTTAATGTCTCTAATGGAATATTTAGCTCAGCAGTGTTGGGAAAGTTATAAAAACTAAAAATCAGACCCTGTGATAACAAGTAATTTCAGTAGATAAAAGAAGAAAAGGAAAGTTGAAAGGGGAACAACAATGAAAAAAAACCTAACTCCACACACAAAACAAAATACCAACAACTACAGAGATCTTTTTGATGATCTCTGATTTTAAAAGGCATGTAAGCTATGGATGGTAAGGTATGCTGCTCCTCTAAGGAAAACGCTGGAATACAAAAACCAGCACATCCCCTAGAACCTTAACCCTCAATAATATAGTGTTGATTTGCCCAGCAGGAAGAAAGGGTCACTTACAAAGAGTGTTGCTTTGCCAACAGATAAAAGCTTAGCTGAATTTTTCAACTTAATTCTTCTCCATTAAGCAGTATATCTTCAAACTGGAGAAGGTGTTAATGAAAGAGTTAGGAGAGGTGATAATATGAGGCACATTCACTATTGCAAACATGTCTCTCTCTGGACCCCATAAACCATTTCCCAGATGAAAGAACTTGAAGCTAGAAGACAGAAATGCCTGAATAATGCCTGAGTGTGAGCTTTGAATGCATTTGAGAATAGGAGGGTGGTTATAAGGCAGGAGATAAGAAAATATTATCCCTAATTTTGGGGGATACCAGGGATTGAATTCAGGGGCATTCAATCACTGAGGCACATCCCCAATCCTATTTTGTATTTTATTTAGAGACAGGGTCTCACTTAGTTGCTTAGCATCTCAATTTTGCTGAGGCTGGCTTTGAACTTGCAATCCTCCTGCCTCAGCCTTCTGAGCCACTGGGATTACAGGTATGCACCACCACACTGGGCTTTCCTATTTTTTTACATGAGGGAAAAATGACAAAGAAACTGGAAATGACAGGTCACAGACTAGATGAGTATCATCAAGGCCACCATGAACTTCGTTAGTTATGATCTTTACAAATAACTTAAAATTTCTTTCCTAGTCCTATAGCTCTGATGAGCCATTGTGTCTTTGCTGTGACTTAAGCCAATTCAGGTAGCCCAAGTTAAGGAGCCCACATCTACTGTGCTACAAACAAGAAAGAGAGGAAAGGAGTCAATAAGAAACATGAGTAGATTGAGGGAAACAAGACTTGTAAACAACTGTAGTCAGCGGTGTCTAATGAGATGATTAAAAGAGAAAAACTCAGTATGAGTCTGTGTTAACCACCTGGCTTAGGCTTTCTGAATAATACCCAAGATTTACTGAGCAGCAATAAGCAACACTCAGTATCATGAGTGTTATGATTTCCACATGTTTTTAGGGAACACTCAGTTTCAAGGAACAATTCTATACTCTCCCTCTCTTGATTATTTGCACATGATTGTTTAGGCTGCCTGCTTTTTTTCCAAACTCCAGTTGACCATTTCCCTAATCCATTATCAGTCCTTGGCAAGCCCAGGAGGAAGTGTTAAACATAAGGTTAATGTCATCAGCTAAAGGCTAAAATAAGTTTGGTTTTAGCTGCCTAAAACAAACAAGCTGCCCATTAAGACAGGCATTAAGAGCTGCCTCGCTATATTTACAGAGTCTAGTATTTCGATTCTCAGGTAATTCACTGAGTGTCTTCTGCAAGAGTTGTAAATGCAAAAGCCTAGAGCCACCACACAGGTAATAAAGGAGTGAAATAACAGGGGGACCATCAGGAGAATATAGGCCTTTATAAGGGGAGGGGTAGCATTCTGCTCCAGCTAATAGAGCAACGCATGAGTGCTTGCCCAGGACTACCATGTGGTCTGATTTCTCAGAAAACCAGAAATAAGCATTTTGATGTGAAATTTTTTAAATCATCAACTATTCCCAATTTTTTAAAAAATATACTCTCAGCAAAACAACATGTCCTATCAGGCCCATAAGCTGCAGTGTTTTACAACCTCTGACCCACTGTTGGTATGAAAAAGTGAGGAAGAAAAGAAAAGGATGCAAAAGAAATACCTGTTAGAACTTGTCTCTGCTTCACATGACCTTAGAATTTATTTGAGAGGAAAAAATGTGATCCCATGTGAAAAAAAAAATTAATGAACCAAATCAGTATTAGTGCCAGGATAAATAGCATTTTATTTAATCAGCTTGCAAATCCTGATGAGCTCCAAACTCACAACAGTGTTCTGGGGCTTTTCCCAGGCTTGTTAGCAGAGCATTTTGCTGGGACACAATTTTATAATGTCTCATTGTCTTTTGTCATGACAAAACTCCAACTCTTTTAGTTGACCGTATTTTCTGTTTTACTTACTTATTTGTCTTCATGATAGAGAATTTTATGAGCACAGGCACAGAATCGGGTTGAGTGTGGTTTTTTGGAAGAGGGGGAGAGACCAGACTGAACAAAGTCAGGTGTCAGTGTTTGGGGAAAATAGCAGGTAATTTGGGAAATATAGACTGGGTCTGAGTGATACCTAGTCTTAGGGATTGGAGGGCTTCAATCCACATTATATGACTAATATGTTCTAGGCCAGTGTTGTCCAGTAGAATTTTCAGTAGTACCTGAGGCTGTTGGGTTTTGAAACATGCCAAGGTGTCCAAGCACCTGAATTTTTTTAATCTTGATTTTGGAAAATTTAAGCTTAAATAATACATGTGACTGATGGCTACCATGCCAGACAGCATATGTTATTTGTTCTATGACATCGTTGTGGAGGATAGTGAAATAATGCAATGACTATACAAATCTAGTCACAGTGTGCAAGTTCTATGCAGCCAGGAGACAGTGACACGGGAAGCTTTTCTGTTAGTTGAACAACACAGTTGGGTATAAATTTGGGTACAAAAAGAGGAAAGCTGGGTATGGTGGTGCATACCTGTAATCTCAGCAGTTCTGGAGACTGAGGCAGGAGGATCACAAGTTCAAAGCCAGATTTGGCAACTTAGTGAGGCCCTGAGCAACTTAGCAAGACCCTGTCTCAAAATTTAAAAAAATAAAAAGAGCTGAAGATGTGGCTCAGTTGTTGAGAGTCCCTTGGTTCAATTCCTGGTACCAAAAAAAAGGAAATATTTTTTTAAAAAAATCACAGTGAAGACTGACCTGAAATTTTCCAATCAGAGTGACTACCAGAACATTCCTGCCATTGATGGAACTAAAAAATTTTGGGAAAGAATAAAATTTTGGTTTTGTTTTTTTTTTTTTTTTATATAACAAGGAGCAAGAGATTTAGAAGGAAGCAGGGAACAGGGCAGGAGGTCACATTAAGGGTAGTATTAACTAGGTGAAATACTGACTGAAACCAGCTATCCAAGTATTCTCTATTTTAAATGTC